TATATATATATGTATGCCGTCCGAGTTACTAACGTCTGTGATGTAATGGTGATGCTCCCTGCAGTGGTGCGCAGAACACGTGAGTCCGATTCTCAATTGGCCTAATTTTGTATCGAGTATCTCCATTTGTATGCTGGGATCTTAAATCTTTCTGAGACGGGTCTGCCCTGGCAGGCCGGGTAGAAGTAGCCAGCACACTAAATGGTTCAAATTGTGTCAATCAAGGTGTAAAATATTATAGTCAATACACAAGAAGACTCCAGTAAAAAAAATTAAAAAAAAACACCACACGATATGTCTCATTTTTAGAAAAATGGAGAAAAGAAAAAGTCAAAATTAAAAAACCCGTGTTTCGTGGTGAGTACAGCAGTTCTATTGCCTTACAAAGCTCAAGAATTACCTGGGTTATCCATAAAACAATAATTTGTGTTGCAGTGAAGGAAATTCGATTTTGAAAGAACGGAACATACCCCACACCCCCCCCCCAAAAAAAAAAATTTAATCCCGAAAAACTCATTTTCAAAAATGTGAGTCAGTATGGTGGAATCAGGCCCTCGTCAATTTTTAGGCATGTAGAGTTATTTGTATATTCTAAAAGCTTGTTCACGTGTCTTTATTTTGATGAAAAAAATGTCCATTTATCTTGAATACAAGTGAAGATATTGGCGAATGAAAGAGGTGGGGGTCACCTGTTTTCAGAGGTAAAATTAGTGAGAAAATGACCGCCTAAGGTTGGTTATTTTTTTAGCTTAAGAGTCCGTGGTAACTGAAAATTTACATTTTTTGTGCCTTTAATCAACGTTTTTCAGAAAAATCCACACAGAAATGAGTTCTTTAGTGGGCATGAAAGGTGTTGAGCCAAAAAACAAAAATTTGATAAAAATTCGCAAACCTGCGGAAAAATGCAGGTTTTTTCACTTTGATTATTTTGACGAGAGCCTGATTCCACCACGCTGCCTCACAAATGCATTGTGACTTATCTTGTTTTTTCCACTGGTGTCTTCATATAATTGCAATATATAGATGTACAGAACGGCTTCGCTAGAATCCTGTCGAGTCGGCGTCGAACTATTCGGTATCTCAGAATCGCAAGGTTCTTTCTGACATTTTTGGCTGTTTTGAATTACTGACACCATGAGGTCAGAAAGCAAATGGTGGCTTTTAAGCACAAGGGGGGCTATCCCGAAAAATGCTGTTTTGAGAAAATCGAAGGTAAAGTTTTTGCCCCTTGTTCGGTTTCTTTAAAAGACGAGGAAAGTTTTCTCTATAATGAAACAAATATACAAACTTCTCCTACAAGTAGAGCATTATCCACTTTTGATGCTGGAAATACCCAAAATCTGGGTTAGCCTGCTTGTCCTTAAAAGCGACCTAATGTTTCGTCTGCTCTATCAAAATTTAAAGTATAATCGGAGTCGTTTTCACGAGATTCAAAGAATTGCATTCCAAAAATCTTTACATATTATTCCTAAAAAATAAATAAAAAATTGACGTCAAAATTTTCAAAACAAAATACTGAGCAGGTAGAACTTTGTAAATCAAAGGTAGCGTATAGTCGTTCTTGAGATGACATTTTGAAATCTTTCTCTTTTTTATTCATGATCCCGGCAAACAACTTAAAAGGTGGCGTCGGTAACCTAGTGGTTAGGCTACCGGACTAGTAATCGTGAGATTGCAGGTTCGGAGGTTCGAGCGTCAGCTCGGTCCGACGGTGTGTCCTTAAACTTGCGAAAGGCACTTTCGACGAATTTCCCTCTTGGCTCATTGCTTTCGGAGACGGACGTTAAACTAGGATGTCCCGCCTCTTAAATAACTTAATAGTATTGGTAAGGGCGTTAAACCCATACCATTTCACCATTTCAAACAGCTTAAAGTTATGTCTTTGAAATCACATTTCGTCTAACAACTGTTTAGATGTGCTAAACCCAACACTTTGAAAGGGAAATTGTTACAGTTTCTTAATCCACTGTTATCAGTTGCATATGATCAAGAAATTTCAAATTCTAAATGTTGAAAAGAGAAAGGAAAAAAGTGGGTCGAATTGTTAACAGAATTAAACTTTTTTTTTCTCTCTTGAAAATTTTGCTTTCTCGGCTTAGGACATTTAAACAGCTTGCCGATGATGACATAGTGTGAACATAAAGTCTAGCACGCACATAGCGAACACACATACATAGCAAAACACGCACATAGCGAACAGAATTTCAACTCCTGATTTTTAACAATATTATACATGAATTTTCTCCGTATTCGGTGAAATTCGTACATATAACGAAAAGATGTTCGTGCCCCGCCTCCCATTTCGTTATGTGCATACTAGACCGCAGTAAGGCGTTAAAAATCATGAAACACCAGAGGTACTTACTTTCCGGCGCCTCTCGTGAACAGATCGCCCACATCGTAGATCCTGGCAAACTGGTCAGTGTTGTCACGGAACACACTGCAGAACGCGTTGTCTGGAACGATAGATAGATAAAAAAGAATAATAGATAGATACATAGATTAATAGATCTATCCATCAGTCCATACAGCCCTCCATCCATCCATCTATGCATCCGTATATACATACAGTCTTACTCTCCCACTCCCCTCTCCCCCCCCAACACACTCACTCTCACATACTCTCTCTCTCTCTCTCTCTCTCTCTCTCTTTCT